AGGATTATGTGACAAGTTAATGAGGAGTAGATGATGACCCCACAACTGGTCTCCAGTAGATATAGGCATACATTTCGGTTGTGTGTCTATGTCTACTATGTTCATCCACCTGTATTCATTGAACAGCTCTCTATTTTTCCGCCTACCCATAGGTAGATCTGTATCGATCTCTCATTTCTCCGTTCCTGTCCATTTGTCTCCCACGCTTTTAGTCCGTCAGTGTGTCTGTCAGTGTCTCTCTCTCTCTCTCTCTCTCTCTCTCTCTCTCTCTCTCTCTCTCTCGGCTTGTAAATTTGTATATTTCTTTTTTTCTCTCATATTTCTCTCACACATACAAATACACACACTGTCTCTGTTTTTTATCCCTCTCTCTCTCGCCCTCTCACTGTTTGTAAATTTGTTTATCTCTGTCTTTTTCTCATCTCTCTCTTCACATACACACACACACACAGACACACAGTCTCTCTGTCGTTATGTTTCTCTCTATTTCTGTCTCTCCCTGTCTTCCTGTCCTTCTCTCTCTCTCTCTCTCTCTCTCTCTCTCTCTCTCCGAGAGTTCATCTAGTAATTATATGTATAAAAGATAAAGGGAGAAAGAAGAAGATTTATATAAAATCAAGGCATTGATAGACGCCTCTCTCTCTCTATCTCAACTCAGGTCAACCGACAGTCGGGCATACCCGCTTAGCGTACTTTTACTTCAATTTTTCTGGCTTTCTTTCTCGCATTCATTTGTTGTTGCTTTTGTTGTTGCTGTTGCTGCTGCTGTTGACTAGGCCGGCATTGTTTATGGTCAGCTAACGGTATCTATGACTGTGGCAACATCCGTCGCACATTTCGGGACCTGCTCCAGCTGCGCGGCCCATTCAAACGGAAATGAGAACTCAACGCAGCGGAAATTTAATAACGACCAGCAATTTAGCGACAAGTGGACGTTGCGACCAATGGTCGAACGACATATTTATGCGGCCATTTTGACTGACCGCAGTAACCAGAGTCAGAGTCAGACCCAGCCAGCCAGGCCCCCTATCAATTGTTGTGCAAGTGTGCCAGTGTGTGGGTGTGTGTGTGTTCATTGACAAATGACCATTTCATATGTGAAATGGCAATTCAATTGATTTTCAGCGTGCGTGTGTGTGTGTATGTGTGTGTGTGTGTGTGTGTTTGCAATTGAAATGAAAATAGTTCAAATATGTTTGCTAAGGCTGCGCGCTACACACATAGCAATAATGAGAAGTATTTCATAAAGACCGCCCCACACTCTCACACACACACATGCACACACATGCACACACATAAATTGTATCCTTCTGAAAAGGACAACAAAAAAATACTGACAACAAATTGTCAATAACAATGGCAAAATGTTAAACGCCGGCCAGCCAGCCCAACTGCAGCTGAAATTTATGGCTCGAACAGATCAAGCACTCATATGTCATGGTCATAATAATAAATTTTATTATTTAATTTGAAAATGCGCGAAATTGCCGAGTGCCCGGGTACTGCATAGTGCGAGCATCCGCGGCAATTAAGCCACATTTAATTATATCTAAATTATGTATTTATCTAGATAGATAGCTGGGGACATATTAGATAGTTGGCTAAATGGGTTTATTGTTCGAACAAATTGAGCTAAGCCCGAAAGTGGGGAAATAAAAACACTCATTTGTTTATATTTTAAAGTATATGGTAAATCTCATGTCAAATTTGACAAGCACTTTTATTTAAATGGATAGATGGATATTTTATATCGGTTTATACCCAACATAAATGAGCTTAACGCTTGATAAATCTTAATTAAGGTCTAGCTAACAAGTAAAAGCTTGTAATTTCTCGCATCTTACAAGTTCATTGTAAACTTCATGACAAAACATAATTTGAATAAACAGACAGAATGATAGACAGGCGGTTAAACAGACAGAAGGATGGATTAACAGACAGGATTATAGGCAGACAGGATGAACAGAGAGACAAATGGATAGATGGATTGAGAGATAAATGGAATGCATTGACAAATTGACAGACAGACGTATAAATAGAAAGACACATGGAGCACCAGCCAGCTCTATGAACAGATAGTAGGATGGACAGACAAATGCATAAAGAAGCAGACGCATGGACAGACAGAGCAATGGAAAGACGCACAGAACTAAATGGACCTCATACTTTTTAATGCTGATAATCATATTTAAACTTAGGAAGGTGTGCCACGCCTTATCTTGTCTGAGTCTAATATCTATATTTACATAATATCTATTACACATAATCAAAATCGAATTCCCATCTGCAGAGCACTCTTTTATTTTCAATACAATTTTATGCTCTATAACAAAAATATTTCATACGTTTTTCTAAACTGAAAGCACAAAGAAAAATGTTTAATTACAATGAATAATTGAATATAATGCAGTTAATTGAAAAGCTTGTTTAATGTTTCAGCGCAATGTCTAAAAGGCACTCAAAAGTGTTGAGCCTCAATTAGAATGGGCTTCATTAGGTCAGTTAATAAGCTGCTCGACTTGGGAGCTCATCAAATTGGAATGCCTTTGTGCGGGCATTAGGCGCACGTCTCTCATAATCGGCTCACATAATTATAATTTTGCACACACACAATGGAGCTGGGAGAAAACAATTTTCTATGAAATTAATTTTCTCAAATCAGCAGCGAATAAAAAGTCACTCACTTGTCTATTGTTTGGCTTTGCGACGTCCAAAGCACACACACACATGGCAAGACGAACGGGGCCTGAAGTCGACCCCGGCTCTATTTAGACGGCTGTGTTTAGGGTCTGGGCCACATTATCTTACTCTTGACATTTCTTTTTGAAAAGCAGCCGCCTTACACAATTTTATCCCTGGCTGTGTGCTGTGTGAGGCAGAGGACTAAGGCTAAGCAGTCTAAGCAGCCTCAGAAGCCTCAGCAGCTGCGCCTGTCAAGATAACAAAAAGAGTTTTTCGCCTTGTGTGCTGGCTTTGCTGCTGCCAATGTGCATTTCACTTTGGCCAGATTTCACAACTAGATATATATCGTTTTAGCATGTGCATTTTAATATTTTACAAAAATAAAATTATGCAAAAGTTATACAAAAAAAAATTGGAATTATTCAATTTGGTTTAATTGAAATTTGTTAAAGTAATTAAATTTGACACGAACTTTGACAGCCGAGAGCAACAACAACAACAGCCGCAGCAGGACTTGGAATTAATTTGCCAACGCTTAAGCCAACAATCGAGACAGACTAGAGTGATGGACTGACAGATATCCTAGAAACGGCTGCAGTGCTTGAATTTTAATTATTTTATTTTACAATTTTATTTGAAATATACGTATATATGTTTATTTTAAGAAATGCATTAAAATATATATTTTATAAAAAAATAAATTGTTTACATAAAAAGTAAAAATTGAGAAAATTCAAAATTAATTTTATAGAAATTTATTCAGTTCTGTATTTCAAAAGATATCACAAAAAAAAATCGCATACATCAAATCACAATTTAACAGTTGGGAAATGGAGAACAAAATTTGAGAAAGCAAATTATTAATACGAATTTATTCAGTTGGACATTCAATGTTTTTTTTTTTTTTTTTTTTTTAATATGTATATTTGTATGTATATAAAATAAATAAAAAATGTTAAAGTTTTTCGAGATTTGTAAAACATGGACAAGCTGAGATTATTATAGGCAATATGAGGAAGATTAGCTTGGATGCCATATACAGATTACCATATGATAGGCAAAAGAAATTAATTATTACAAATTTGTTTAGCAGGTACAAGTCTAACATTCAGATAAACTCTCAATCCCTTCTGCTTAGCAGTTTAAAGATTCAGCGAATCCTAACTCCAGTAGATTGCTTTCAATTCGACTAACCCACATGCAATCCGTACAGGGTATACAAAAAGTAATTATCCATTATTTACTTTATTTTACACAAGCCTCTCTGTATGTACTTTTGTATATATGTGTGTGCATACATACATACATACGGACAGCCACATTGACAGGCATACACACATCCAACTGTATGTCGATCTATCTGTCTGCATCTATTCATTCCGGCATCCAGTTGTATTCACACCAGAAATTAGCATAACAAAAGGCAGCTGCACAATTCAAACATGGCTAAGTCGATTCTTAATTTTCAATTAAAATCCAATTTGTGCACACAAAAACGCCAAACGACAGAGAGAAAAGGTTTTTCTCTAGCTTCTGCTTCAGCTTCTCAAATTTTCTTCTTCTTTTTTTTTTCTGCCAGCTCCCAAATGAAATTATTTTTTTGCTCAAATCTATTGTCAATCCTTGAAACGGACATACATCATATGCATGAATTGATTCAGCTACAACATTACTTGAATTGAATGGAAAGTTTTTTGTTCTCAACTCGTGAAGCACATCAAAGCGAAATATGTGTTCAGGGATTGGTGAATAATTTGTTAGCTGAGAAAATTTTCCATTTGTTTTATTTTAATTAGTTCTGAGATATGCGATAAAATATTTTATAATGGGAGGAAAGTCAAATACTAAGATTAAATTAAAATATTTTGTGTATTTTGTAATAATAAACAGGCAATGTAATATAGCTAAAATTTAAAATTTTAATAAAATTCCTTTAAAATACTAAACTTATATACATAACAAAAGGCAAAATATCATTTATCATATAATTTCATTTTGAATTTTCTATGCAGCTCAAAATAGTTTAAAAATGTAGAAAATAAAATTAAATAAATTGAATATTAACTATTTTTAATTATTAAACTAATGCAATATTTTATGTAAATAATAATATTTCTTATTATTAGAAGTAATATAAATATAAAATAAAATAAACAAACCGCATATTTTTGGTAATAAATATCTCAAATTTAATTTACATTTTTAAAATACACTGCAATAAAAATAAGAGGTAAAAAATCACAATTTTAAATATTGCCAAAAACGAGTTTCAGAAAATAGAAGGATAAAACTAAAAATAAATAAAACTTTCTTGAGCATTCGCATCGATTCGATTTTTTTTTAGAGATTTGCCAAATGAGAGTTCTTTTGAATTTGGATCTTTCGTTGATAGCGAAAAGTGTGCACGATTTTCAATTCTTTATAGCGCTGCTCGTAGAACCCGCTGTGGTCCAGTTTCTTGGCCAAGGCACACGCCTGCGGCTCATTGGTTTTGTAGAGGGCCAGCAGGAGGTTGGCCAGAGCCAATTGAAAGTCCTGCTCCAGATCGTGTATGGCATCGCAGGTTGTCTGGCAGCATCTGCGCAGCTCCTGCTGCCGCTGCGCCATCTCGTCCGCAGAGAAGCGCTGGCAGAGCGACAGAAACTTCTGCTGCAAAACGTCCAGCTGGAAGATGGGCTCATACAGCTGCATCAGAAGCAGACGCAACCTGGCGTTATCTCGGGTTAGCCACAGTCCTTTCAGGATTTTCTCCATATACGAGCCCTGCAGCTGGAGCAGTTCGTCCAGAGTCTTCACCGTATTGCAGCCCAGGTAGAGCTCCTCGAAGGCGCTGTCCAGTATATTCTCAAGCATGTAGCTGCGCAACTGCAGCATGAAGTCCTGCAGCCGATCGATGAGCTGATCGAACTGATCCCGCACCTGTCGCGCCTCCGGGAAGCGCTCCAGATTGACGCGCTCCGAGAAATGCGCTTGCTGCCGCCGGATCCGCTCGTTGAGCACATAGTCCGAATAGTGCAGCTGCCAGAGGCAGACAAAGCACGATTCATACTGAACGAGCCGTTCGCCGAGCAACGTCTTCCAGTGGCTCGGCTGCTGCCAGCGCAGCAGGAAGCAGCACCAGCAGCGGCTGCCCTGCTGCTCCCCCCTGGCCACATAGAGCGGCTTGTTGTGGGCGACCAGCAGCTGCTCCAGCCTGTTGTTGAGCTGTGTGGCACAATAGCATTCGGCCGGCTGCTCCAGCAACGGCTCCAGCAGCTCAATCATCTCGCGCACGAACTCCACATCGGTGAGCAGCAGATATTGATGTAGCCGACTCAATAGCTCCAGGGGATTGGGTCGCAGCTGATGCAGCTGCTCGAACAGCTGCCGCGATGTGTCCAGCTGCAGTGTGCCAATTAGCTCGACCAGCGGCTGCTCGTCCAGCTCCCGGAAGCTGCTGTGGCAGGCCGACGCCAGCTGCTGCTCCAGCTCCAACTCCTGCACCACCAGCTCCAGTTGCCGGGCCAAAAAGTGCCGGGAAAAGTGCTGGTTCCGGCCCGTTGCGAGCAGCTGTCGCGCCAGATGTGGATTGAGGAAGTGCGGCAATCGCTCCGGCCGCAGCTCAAACTGCTGCAGCCAATAGTTCTGGATCTGACTGCCAGCAGCGTGCTCCACAATGAAGAAGTCGCCCTCGAGCAGCTCGCCCTGCTGCAGCCAGCCGCGAATCCTTTTCAGCAGTGGCTCGGCGGCGCATTCCATCCACTGCTTGAGCAGCTCATCGTAGCCAGCGTTGCCCAGGCCCAATTGCAGCTGCAGATACTGCAGCGGGGACGGCTGGTGGCTCAGCTCGCCGCACAGCTGTAGCAGCCACTGGAAACGATGGACGTAGCTGCGCGACTGATGGTACACCTGAGTGAGGCTGGTCAGCTGCTCCTTGTGCCGCTGGTAGAATCGGGAATACGCCTGCAGCTCGGCCATCAGACAAGGAGCCAGCGCCCGTCCGTACTCGCCCAGTCGCTGCAGCAGAACCTCCTGCTGCTGCTGCAGGCACTTGTAGTAGTAGCCCACCTCGGCCAGGGCGAGCAGCACATAGGACTCGCTGATGCTGCTCTGGTGATGCGGCGAGCGCAGCATGAGCCGTCGACTCAGCGCCGAGACGCGCATCTGCTGGCACTCGTAACCGAGCAGCGCGTGCAAAGCATCGCCCAGTCGCTCCTCGGGCGACAGCCGGACGACCATGCCGCGATCGCGCTGCTGCCAGCGCAGAGTCTCGTATTGTTGCAGCTCGTCGGACGTAAGCAGCTGCTGCAGCTGGCACTTGCCAATCGCCTCCAAGCACTCGTCCGGCTGGTAGGCGTATTGCTTTCGCATGCACCGCAGGTAGGCCTTGAGCCGGCGCTTGATTGCAGCGACATCTATGATCGGACCGGGGCAACTCGTCTGTGTGGCCACGATCTCGACGAACTGCTTCCACTGCTCGTAGAAATTGGGCCCGTCGGGCTGCAGGGGCGAGCATTGATACGAGGGATTGCACTTGAATTGCTTGATGATGAAGGGAGAGGCGGCTATGACATGGCGCTGGTGCTGCCACTTGGCTGGTAAAGCTATAGCTGTCGGTGTTATCGATTGATCGAATGGCGACACTCCCTCATTTATGTCCATCCCTCTTAGCCTATCAGCATCTTGATTGATCGCATTTGCAGAAACTTTGCACATTATCATATCGTGTTTCGATATCGATTGATTATCAAGTTTGAGCTTTTGTTGGCTTAAGGACTGCTCGATCTCTATCGAGAGATTCACAGCTTCTTCTTTAATCTCTAGTTGATTATCCACGCGAGCCTGATCTTTGATCGTTCTATTGGCTGCCAATTGCGCCTGATTGGTTGGCTGTAACATTTTTATAAAATTCCTAATTTTTGTAATTATTACACTGTGTGTATCAGTCAATGGCTCCGATTCCTGCGACCAATCTAACGATGGGTAATCGGGCTTTTTGACTTCCGGCACAGGATCTTTGTATTCTGCTTCAGCTTCCACTTGCATCAGCCACCTGGATGTCTTAGATAAGGAGTGTTCAGCAAAGACGGAGGTTGCCTCACTTATCAGTCTATGAGGCACCAAATAGTGTTGATCTCGTCGAACCGGTTCAACATCGTGAGTGAATTTTCTTTCATAGACTAGAGGGGACAGAAAATTTTCGGAAGATATCGATCGAGCTTCTGTTCTCACCGATTCCAGCTGATCTGTCGGCAGAGACGTCTTGGATCCACGTTCAAGTTGTAGAAACATTTCCTCTTCAGAATCTTTAAAGTCATCTAGTTGTGAAATCTTAGGGCTATCAGGTAAACAATCTTGATGATTTATCGACAAATCGATTTCGAGCAAACTTGTCTCAGATTCTTCCTTAGTTTTCAATTGACACATCATTGGGGCAGCCGAAGAGTCCTCGGTAGCTACCGATGGACTTTCAGTTGGTATTTCTGCAATCTGTGGAAAGTGATCCATGAGCTGCTGTAGCTGCGTACGACTATCTGCATTTTTAATTGTTTCGTCTAGAAGAGATGACTCTGGTATCGACTCTGGTGGTGTTTCAATGGATTTCTCAGTTTCCTGTTGATGTTTCCATTGGTCACAATCGATATTTTTCAAACTGTCTTTTTTTATCGATGGATTCGGCACCATTTTTAGCTGAGCCAGCTGACTATGAATCTTAGCAAGCATTTCAGTGGTTAGCACTAGCATGCCTAAAGTATCGGTAAGAGGGGCCAATTTTTGTTCAGAGTTCGATTCGTTCTCCGCTCTTAAATCATTCCCATTACCCAATACTGAGGGATCCGTTTCTTCACAAACATCCTCGGACTCTATCACAAATAGAGACTGTTTGGGCGTTAGTATCATTGCTTGATCTTCTGACTGAAGCTCCCCAATCACTACCTTTGAGGAATCCATTGAAGATGATTCTTGGTCAGACGCCGAATGACTCTCCTGTTGAAGCTCTCCACTCGCTTCCTTTGAGTAATCGGTTGCACACGTTGTTTCTTGATCGGCTATCGATTGATTATCGTCCAAGAGCTTAGCTGACATAGATGTATCGAGCTCTGGTGACTTATCGATACATATTTCTTCGTCTTGTCCTCTTATCGGACAGCCGGCAACAGCTTCTTTAGAACTACATTTATCATTTACAAATGACTGATCGATTTCTGGGAAAACTATCGATTGCTCGATATTTGGCAGCTGTTTGTATTGCCAACTGCTTTCCTTGGATATTTGCTTCAAGTAGAAACCACTTTTGAAATTAGGAGGAGGCGGTATTTCATGCAAACTTAATTGCTCTTGTTTTGGTCCTTCGGATAATACTTCTTGCTTGTGTTGTGAGTCCGACGTATCTATTGGCGGCGTATTAGTATCTTGTGTGGCAACTTCAATTGCTTCCCTAGTGGGTGACTCCCCACTGTAGGTGGGCTCTGAAGTAATGAAACCGCTCTGTATTATCGTCATGCTCGGCGCAAGCTCTTGCTGTATGATTGGCTGATTGATTTTTGGCAACATTTCCTCGGACGCCGTGTAGATCCAATCTTTGAATTCCTCGCTGGTGGATGCCAAATTATCTGGGGGCAGTGTCGATATTGAATTTAACGATTTGTGCAGCACTATCAAACTATCGTTGGTCGCTTGCTCCTCCTGAATTGAGGTGTAAACGATATCTGGCAGCAGCTCTTCCGATGTTGTCAATATGAAATTCAATCGCATTTCATTCAGCGACGATGGGTACAGCGTGGAATCGAGTAGAGTGCTTAAGTCATCTGTCTCTGTCGATCCTTGTTGCTTAATCAATCCATTGATCTTGCCTTCACTTGCAGTCGTGCTTGCTGCCTTATCCGTACTTGTCGTATCCTTCGATAGCCCCGTAAGCAAGTCATCGGTAGTTGTGGAAATATCTGCACTTGGTTCGGTTCGATACGTTTGTACGCCTTGATCCAGCTGCGTGGTCGAAGTGTCCGTTTGCTGAGACTTGTCCGAATGCAGATATACACATAGATCTATGCCCAGCTCAGATGTTTCCTTGATACTCTGAGAATTCGCATATAGCTCAACAGTTTCCAGGGGCTCCGCAAACTGACTGCTCACATCCGAAGTCTCGCAGACGCTCTTGCTGTTCTTATATAGCTCCACGGCTGAAACAGTGGCCATAAACTGAGTGCCCACCTCACAGGTCTCTCGGAGAAAGCTCAAAGGATTTCTATTCTTTTCAGCTGTAAATTGTATTATTATATGTAATTACTCTACATTTTTATATTTTTCGGTAGATTTCTTGGTTCTCGTTCGCCTTACCAGTTTTTGGTTGCCGTGAATGAGCATATGGTCTCATCTGGCTCTCGATATCCTCGCAGAGCATCACATCGGAGCTCATCGGAAAAGGTTGCTCTGGACTCTTCGGGTGCGCCATATAAATGATCTTTAATTCTTTATCTCTGATCAGCTTCTGTTCATTGATAGCACTTCGATTCATTCCAACATAGTTTGCCTTACAGATTGCTCGCTCCCAGCGCAAACCTTTGAACTGACAACGGACTATGACAGGCTTACACATAACATAGAGGAAACCCATTTCAAGAACTACACCAGTTCGCCCTTTTGACGAACTGATCTCCAATTCCTTCTCGTTCAAGTGCAGCACGCTTTGGGCCAAGCAAATGAGGTTCTCGGTAAAGTCTTCCTGATACCTCAGCTTGCCCTCTAGCTGCATTTTCTGTGGGTTCTCCTCATCGAACAGGTGGTAGCAAAATGCGAGATATTGTTGGCGTTTCGTTTCGCTTGGCTCGAGTCGTAAGAGTAGCCGATACAGATGCAAGAAGAGCTTATAACGGTGCTCTTGAAGACACTGCTCCTGCAAATCTGTCGTTGACTGCAATTGCTTGAAGCGTTGCCGAAAATCGTTCAGTTTAATTTTCATCTGAGTTTCCGGTTTGACGAACGCTCTGCCATACTCCACCTTGGCTCGCTTGCAGCCGAGAGCGACGCCCAGCTTCCAAAAGAGCATGGGTATACTGCTAGCCAAGTCCTTGGGCGAGAGGCCCAGAGGAGATTTGCGAGGGTGCTTTGACTTCTGTTGCTTTTTGTCATCAGCCATGAGTTAATCGAATGCTCAAAACATATGAGAGAAAAAAACCGAAGATCGAAAGAACTGCAATAGGACGTCGATATAATGGAATATATATATATATATGTATATAAAAAATATATAAGATATACAAAAAGTAGATCAATTTGATATGAGTGCTAGTCTTAAGGTACTGTTATTTGAAAGCCATGTCTAAGCTCAAGCAAATTGAAATAGTATATATAAAGTATGTACAGTCTAAATCCCTTCATCCCCTATATGAACACTTTTTACTTCATATGTATGCCCACAAGTCCCGTAACACACCTCGTTTACGCTGCTTACTTACACTAAAAAACCGTTAACAACTTTTAAACTATTAACGAAATATAAAACATTTACTTCAGAATTTGTATAAATA